CTTTTATATTTACATACGCTCTATCTCTGACATTGAGCACTAACCCATAAATATAGCACACCTTAAAACTATATTTCTTATATATATATATATATGTGTGTGTGTGTGTGTGTATATATATATATATATATATATATATATATATATATATATAACATTAGGTAGCATATGATTTACATACAAAGAATAATCACACATAGAATTAATCAGAAGTATTAATGCGATTATTGGCGACATCCATCGCTAGAAAACATAATATATGCATTAAAATCCTGTTCATCCATAGTGCGAGTTTTGATCCTTGACGAAAAACTTGTTTGTAGTTTTTCAGTTTATTTGATGTTAAAATGCTAGTACTTACGGATAGTCTTCATCCATCATCAGGCATGTGTTTTTTCCTTATAAAATCAAAACTTGAGACGATATACCTGTATGTCGACCGAAAGATGTTTTTGAATATCTGCTATTATTGACGGTTGTGTAAGATCTCGGAACGTGCAAAGACGCGACGCTAAGTTTTTCGTCAAGGATCAAAACTCGCACTATGGATGAACAGGATTTTAATGCATATATTATGTTTTCTAGCGATGGATGTCGCCAATAATCGCATTAATACTTCTGATTAATTCTATGTGTGATTATTCTTTATATATATATTTAATTGTATGGATATGAGTTTGTAGTCCTGGATTTCACGCTTTTGCGACCATCAGACAAACTGATTTTTTTTTTTAATTTGAAGCTATTTATGTCAGTTTTTGTTTGATTATGTTTGGTATTGGGGGTCGGGGGGGGAATTCTCCTCTGTGTCCTGACCCTTACAGTTATCGGCCTATTAGCATTCTACCTCTTTTTGAAAACCTCTTAGAGGCCCTAATCAATGCTGAATTAGTTCATCTCTCATCGCAGGGCCTTTTCTCAGACAAGCAATAGGGTTTTCGTTTCTCCAGGTCAACTGATGATGTACTGACGGTAATTGCGGAAAGAGTCTATGAAACTCTAGATAAAAACGGTGAAGCTCGGGCTGTTTCATTGGACATCTCAAAGCAGGGTTTGGCATACTTTTTCCACAAGACAGGGTTTGGCAGGTCACAGGTCTTTTCCAAGATAAAAACGGTCTTTTTTCTCAGACAAGTGTCAATACAGGGTTTTCGTTCTCCAGGTCAACTGATGATGTACGGACGGTAATTGCGGAAAGAGTCTATCATGCTCTAGATAAAAACGGTGAAGCTCGGGCTGTTTCATTGGACATCTCGAAAGCCTTTGACAGGGTTTGGCATACAGGTCTTTTCCACAAGGGTCTTTTCTCAGACAAGCAATAGGGTTTTCGTTTCTCCAGGTCAACTGATGATGTACTGACGATAATTGCGGAAAGAGTCTATCATGCTCTAGATAAAAACGGTGAAGCTCGGGCTGTTTCATTGGACATCTCAAAAGCCTTTGACAGGGTCTGGCATACAGGTCTTTTCCACAAACTGAAAAGTTACGGTACCTCTGGACACATTTTTGAGCTGATTCAGTCTTTCTTATCAAATGGTGAAATGAAAAATACCCTGAACGGGCACTCGTCTAGATCCTTTCATACTAACGTGGGTGCCTCGCAGGGTTTCATCTTTGGTTCTACTCAGTTTTTAATCTTCATTAACGACCTTCCGATGACATCAGCTCTCAACTTGGAATCTACGCTGACGAAACAATCATTTACTCCTACCTCGTTAGTAAGGCTGATCAATCCGACAAGATGAAAATGGCAGCTGATGTCCAAAACGACCAAGTCCGTCGTTAACTGAGGCGAAAGATGGCTTGTTAATTTTAACACTTCCAAACCTAACTTTCTCTCCGTTAATCATCAGAGAGACCCCCCCACTCTCTGCCTTCCATCAGCGTGGCTGATGCTAACCTCCAGGAAAGTAACTCATTGAGCCTCTTCGGGCTAACGTTCTCGGCTGACATGAAGTGGAAAGACTGTATTGAATGCATTACTAGGTCAGCTGCTAAGAAAGTCGATTCACTGTGTCGTACGAGACAGATTCGGGAAAGAGAAATTATCTTGCATATTTATAAGTCTACCATTCGTCTATGCTTAGAATATTGTTACTATATATGGTCCGGTGCCCCTGATATTGCCCTTGAGCTCCTTGATAAGATAAAAATTTAAAAAAATCAGCAATATTATTGATCCTGATCTGGCGGCTCGCCTTCAGTTGCTGGAATTTTGGATTACCCTGGCTGTACTAGTGAGCCAGCCAAAATGATCTGACCCATTTTATAGTTCACCAATAGAAGGGTTAACCAATCAGAAGGCTCAAAATATTCAATGCGACGTGTATAAAGGCGGCCATGTTTTTTCCCGAATATTCACTGCCAGCCTTTGATATCAAAGACTGAAGAATTACGGAACAACTGCTGGTGGTATTGGCGATATAGTCAGATTCAGTAGAGTGTCTGACACGTGAGTGTTAATCTTTAACGTTGTTTTATTGAACAGATTACGTACTGC